GAGAGAAGAAAAAAAAATCAGTAAAATGGTTTACTTGTCATCAAGCAATTTATTTTTGGGTCATCTATTCCCTGACAGGAGTAGAAATCAAGAAATTTTGCAGAAACATGGTGAAAAAATGCTCTTGTAGACATCTGCTTGCTTCTGCTGTGCTTAAGGGGAGCACTGGTACATCCAAACTAATGAATACAAGTGAACAAGTTGTTTTATTTTGCAGGGTTCACAATGTAATCTAACTCTAAATTTAAATAACCCATTTACTGTAGGTAGGACCACTAACATTTTTTTCACTCTGTATTCTTTCACTTATTTGGTCAAAGTTTCTTGAATTTCAGTTCCTCCTTTCATTAACTTTCTCTACACTCCCCCAAAACAAAACTTTGACTCAGTGTTTTATACAGCCTGTAGCACAACTGAAATGATACAATCCACATTAGCTCTGCAGCCAATCACACAGGTAAAATGCTTACAAACATAGAGCTACCATCTCAGCTGTGGTCACCATATTGTTAGTGTGGTAAAAGGGGTTTGTTGGGTCTCTCAAATACTCAAATGTGTTTAGCACTTGGTGAGCTGGTGAAATAATCTGCCATAAAAATTCTGTGTAGAGGATTTTCTAGATATGGAGACAAGTAGGTACTCTTGTATTTACCAAAGAAGTTGGCATGTGATATGTTAATACTGTCTCTGAATTTATCCTGGTGCTGAGATTTGTTGCGTTAGCTGTTTGTGACTTCAAAGCCAGTGCTGCTGTCAAACTGTGTATGACAGGCTGCTACAAGTTTCACAGATCAGCCATTAGGAACAATATAAATATACCTTTATATTTTTTGCAGATAATACAGCCTGCATGTCTTATTGCTTATCCTGCAGTTGGTATTTCTATTTCTCTTGGCATGAACTTACTATTAAATCTCCATTTTTTTTCTGTTGTTTCCCATGTAAAATATATGGAGAGAAGTGTATTGTCAGTGTTTATTTGTATCACATCAGAAGGATGCCACGTGCTGTATGGATAGGTATAAACATAAGCTCCCTGTTGAGAGCATTATGCAGTATATCCTGCTATTACCTTGACCTGGTTAGAGAGGAAACATCTATGCATCCCTTTTCTTAAGTAAACTTCCCTTGACTGTCCCAGTGTCTTGGGAGCCTGAAACTTCTAGGTCATCTTTTCAGTTGGAGCTGTTTTATTTAAAAGCGTTGAAACACATCATTTAGTCTTAAATTTTATCTAAAATGTATTTCTGCCCCATATTCTTTGGAAAACTCTCAACGAAGCAATCGTTTGTTAGTCACTTTAGACGTGTCCCAGTGGAATTTGGACAAATATCCAAAAATTTAGTTGGAGGGAAGCAGGGAGGAATTAGGAGGAGGACGTAAAGAGCACCTAGGTTACTTTTGTATCTGTTAGAAATGGTATCCAAACCCAGCATGTAATGCAATTGATATGTAATGCGGTTTGAAACAATAGAAAGTTTGACATTAATAAGCCTTGCAGCTTAATTGCATGAAGATTCCTGTGTTCTTTACGTGAACTCAGACTAGTACGTAAGGAAAAAATCTCAACAATTTGAGATGATTGTAATAATTCATGTCTGCTAAATTTAACTAATATAATTAAGTCGGCTTCTTCAGAGGTGGCGTAAGTGAAGACTATCTAATTATTAAAGATTTGAATTAATTTTAGTTATGATAAATCAAGTCTTTTTTGGGGGTGGAGTGGGAGTTGGGGAAATGCTAACTGTTTAGAAACTGTAAAGTCTTCTAAATGATAAAGAACTTCCCAAGGTTGAAATGAAATCTTCTTTTCTTTTTTAGGTTTGCTAAAGTTTTGCACTGTAGGTTTTTGTGGAATTGGAAGCCTAATTGATTTCATTCTTATTTCCATGCAGGTAAGTTGATGCCTTCAAATTGAGATGCGAAAAACCTGTTCTTTTCTGCTTAAGAAAAGGTCCAGTTTAGTCCAAAACGTGGCCAGTCACCTGTCACAAAGACTTTTCGTAATATTTTTGCATTAAAATCTATATACTTACATCTCAGTTATGTTTATAATCTTACATTGAAGAAGACATGAACATGGAGGTTTACAGATTTGAAGTTTAAAAAAAATATGGACTGGATATTTGTTTCAACTACTGCAGTGCAACTACCTTTTAGGTACAAGTTTGAAGCTTTTTCACCACAAAAACAATTCTTTGTAACCACAGAACGAAAACCAACACATTTACAACCAGCTGAAGAACATTAGGCAAAATATAATTCCCCAATGCAAGTATTTGGCTTAGTCATGTGAGGTGTCAGATACCCTAGGATTTTGTGAATGTTGGTATTTAAGGTCATTGGCTTAATTCCGCACTTGGGAGACATCTGTAAGTGCATGCAAAAAGACTGCACTGATGAACCCGATGGCCTAGGATGGTATTTGAATGACTTTTAGAACAGAGTCCCATTTAAAGACAGTGGAGCCTGTGCTCTAAATTCACTCCACTACTTTTAAACTTAACTTCTCTCCCAACAGCTACAGATTAAAATTTTATCTTTGTTAATCAGTCACTGACATCCTGATTAATGGTGCTGCAGAAGTCAGGGGTTCCAGTTACTATTGTTTTGTGTAGACATACTAGGGTGTTGGGAACCAGAAAAGAGGAGAAAGAGAAGATACTGATTATCCAGGTATATGGTAAAATTTCAGTAATCCAACTTTGTTTGCTTCACAAACTAGAAAGTGTCAGATGCCATGCATAATTTTATAACTAAAATATATTAAAATATCCAGCAGTTTTTTGAGCAAAGCAGTGTTTCATGTTTCAGCAATCTTAGTCTGGGTACTTTGCTCTGTGTCTACATCAGCTTTACTCTTGCTTCCTGCTTCATTTCCCCAAAGTGGAAAGAAGCTGTACTTTTGTAAATAATGCTTTATGAACGCAACTGTCAATTTGAACTGAGTTTGGGAGCCAGCTTAGTTAGTGTTCTTGACCCTCCTAAAATATCTTGTCAGGCATAACATACAAGCTTTGTGCGTGTTCCATTGTGGTGCACTTACAGATGATATACTGCATCTACTCTTCTGAACTTAATAAAATTCCTGTTCTCCATTTTTAAGTTTACATTTGATCATCTGCCAGCTTACCCCATGATTTAAGGTGGGAGGAGGCATGGATGAGGGAGTGCTGCCACTTTATCTTGGGGCAAAAGAAGTGTGATTGAAAAATTGTGGTTTCATTTTGGAGCGACAGCTTGTGCCTTACAAAGATGAGTTCCTTTATTCTGGGATAATATCCACGTCCTGAATGTCTGAATACAGGTTTTGGGGGTTTTTTTGTTTTTTTTTTCCAACTTTGTGTTTTGCTCACTTGGCCATCAACATTTTTCATTTTGTTAAAAACTGTTAGGGCAAAGAAATTACCAGTCTCTTAAGGACAAAATCCTGAACTGTAGGAAGGAAGCAAACAAGGATGTGACTGTCTCTTGACCCTGGACAAACAGGGTACTTCAACTGTTTTGTTGTGCAATTCATAAATTTTCTTTGCTACTCTGCAAAGACATGCATCTTCATCCAGTTACGTAGCCTGTTCTAAGTCTGCTAACAATGATGGTTATGACACAAATAGCTTGCCTTTATTCTGTAGAACATGTATTTTTTACATTCTTCTGTGTCATACCTGCCCAAAAAGTTAACCCCCACTGACCCAGGGAAACATCTCTTCAGCAGAAGATCTATTCTGAATAAAGAGTGAAGGGAAATGAGAACAGGAATAGCAGGTGCAAAAATTTTAAAATGCCTGAACAGTCGAACAAAAGCATTAGAATTAATGGCTTTCCATCATGCCTGGAAGACTGCCAGTAAGGGACTTGACAGTCCTGGCCCTATTCCACCTTAATTCCGATTCTTATCCAATGTCCTGCATCATGGAATCCAAGTTCATCAGGCGTAGAAAAGTGAAACAACTTGTCTAAACTGTACCACTTCTTGTAATAGTCTGTTGACCCCCAGTTTTTCCCCCTGTACAATAGAGTATGCCACCTCCCTGTAGACTAATATTCCTATTTCTAGACATTTACGGTTCAAGGGAAGATGGTGTCGTCCTCCCTCCTGAGAGAAAGTTCATGACATGAAATTCAGTTATCATTTGGTACCACTATTATTCTTGGAACAATAACGAACCAGTCTCAGAGCAGTGTTGCAGCTGAGATCCTTCAATCTAGGCTGTTGAAAAACTTGAATCTTTGGGACAGTTGTATAGAACTTGGGATGTGCAAGTATGTAATATTATGTTCATGCACATAGTTTTGTAGTATTTTAGTCTTAAAATATACATACTTTCAGAGCCCTACCTTACACCAGGAACCTTTCCTCCCATCACCTGCAGGCATGGCTGAGGACAGTTTCCCTATAATTTTTTGGGTTTTTTTAAAAAAGAAGAGAAGTCCCAGGAAAGCCACCCTCCTATTCCTTACTAGGGTAGCATTTCCAAGTTAGTGCCATCTTCCCAGTCTCTCTCTTATCCCCACTCTGCCTTTTCACTGAAATGGAGTTGTCCAGATACCTTCTGTCAGCAAAATCTTCTAGGACCACCTTCTATGACTTGAATCCTGACTGGTTCCTCCTACAATTGAAGTCTAGCAGCTCGTTCCCCGGTGCCATTTGTTGTTTGAGCAGAAGTCCTAGGGAAGTATTCCTTCAAAAAAAGTGCTTACTAAAATGGTTCATCTGCAGGCATAACTCTAAGATGAGTCCCTTTATATTTTACTGATTGAGCATGACTAATTTTATGATGGACAAGCTAACAGTAATTAAGACAGTAGCACAAAAACATTTATTTTTAATTCATATCAAAAATATTTTTCTCTTTTCTAGATTGTTGGACCTTCTGATGGCTCTAGTTATATTATAGATTACTATGGAGCACGGCTTACCAGACTGAGTATTACCAATGGAACCTTCAGAAAAATGCAGACATATCCCTAAGCCTGGCAGTAAGTTTCTCTCCCGGTCTCTCTCTATGCACACTGTGATGGCCAGAACCAGAGAGATTAATAAGCAATAAATACGTGCTTCTTAGAGGCATTTGGTATTATGCCTAAACAGGTAATATTAGTTAATATAAAGCTTGTAAGTTTGTAGACTGCAAACATAACTTGTCTGTCATAAGTTTAACCAAAATGATCAAATTAACTGTTCGTGGAATTGACTGGGCCCAACAGGCAAAGCTGTAGCTGCAAGATTAGCTGACCTAACGGTTTCTTCTCAGGGTCCAGATAAAAACTGGATCCAGCTGCCCGGCACATCCAACACATTCCAGGAAAGCATATCCTAAGAAAGCATATTCATATGAAACCTAAAAGGGGTTGGGGCTTAGGCACAGCAATGTCAATTTCAAACCTAAAGAGGCTGCATTGTAATTTGCTTATTAGATAAACCCAAGTCTAGGTAGTATACTTTTTTGATATTTTTTAACACCTTTCAATCTTATAGGGTAACAGCTATAGGGTAACATTGTGAGTAGCTCTAAAGCCAACAGATTAGCATAAAACTAGGTATAAAAAGCATGTGTATCAGGTAACCAACAGGAAGGAGGGAACAGAACGGTCATTTGTGTTCCACACCCAGACCCAGTGTGAGTGAGGATGGGATTCTGATCAAGGGACCTTCCCCGGTAATCCCTCTGACAGTGTTGATCGGGGACGCCTGACTTCGCTGGGGACGCCTGACGCATACCTGGCATTGAGGGACTATTGATCAGTTGCCAACCCATGTCTGTCTGTCTGTTGTTTTGAACAGCCCAGTGGCTAATACCCTCACAGTGCCCAGTTGGCCTGCAACAGAATTGATCTATCTGTTGTTATCTGTTATTTACTATTAGCTCTTTAATACTGCATTATCTGCTTATCGCATTTATCTTTCTGTTAACTGTTGTGTGCGTGTGTAAGTTATAATAACTTTGCCTTTACTCCATCAAGAGAACCAATCCTTAAAAGACCAAGAACCCAGCTTGAGAGGGAATTATGGGAAGAAAAGGATTCTAGTAGTATGGCATGCGCAGCTGCTAGAGCAGCTCAAGACCGACTAGAGATACTAGAGCGTCAGGAGGGAAAGATACTAGTCACACAGGCAGTCTCCTCCCTTGAACAGAAGGTGCAAGTGGCATGATCGGCCGAACCTTCCCCTGAAAAGGTCCAACATGTCTTTATGGCAGAATTCCAAAAACTGAGCTGTGGGATGACCCAGAGAGCGAGGATCTGTATGGTGAAATTGCAGTAACTAAGCCAGGAGATAATGAATATGTGAGGCTTACAGAAGAAGCCTGTGAGATCCCACCTCCTTATGCCCCACTGGCCCAAGAGAATTTAGGAGGTGAGTTAGCCCAAACCTTCCCAGTAGTGGCGACCTGTGCAGGGCCACAAGGGGGCAATCTCCAGACAGAGACACGTTCCTTTACTTGCACAGAAATCCAAGAATTACAAAAACAACATAAGGCTAAACTAGGGGAGCAAATAATAGACTGGTTAGTTTGAATGTATGATGAAGGGGCCTCGGCAGTATATGCAAGTCGCACTGAGGCAGCACAATTGGTTCTCCGCCTCGAAATCCAGTTGGGTCAGTGGGTTGGGCAGGACCACAACATTACTCTGTTTTCTGCTGCAATACAGGCGGCTGCTGCGGGTTATGGTAACATGGAAGAAGAGCTTAACCCTCCCCCATGGGCTTGGGCTAACTTAGAGGAAGCTATCCACTGTCTGTATCATCTAGCCTTAATTGAAATCAGTTGAGTAGAGAACTGGAGGCACACTCTAGATGAAGAGCTAGTGACAAAAGCCATGCGGAGGAAGTTCTGCCGGCGAGCACCGATGGACTGCACTTCAGCTCTGCTGGCCTTACAACAAGAGTTAGTAACTCATCCAGTAAGAAATGCAATCTGGCCGTTGGTACAGCTTCTGCCCATCTTGCTGAAGCCGGGGCTTCCCAAATTAATAAAAACTGCCAAGGCCATGGCAGTGGCCCCCAAGAAAGACAACGTGGCAGGGCTCCGCAAGTCCAGGAAAGTGGGGAATGGAAAATCTAAAACCCTGTGGGCACAGATGCGGAGGGAGTTACTGGCAGCAGGGTTCAATAAAGGGCAAATTGATGGGCTGGCCACCCCGGTCCTGCAAGGGTTATGGGCCAAACACTGCGAGGACGGGAAAGGGAAGAAGATAGAGCCCTTGGCACCCCTTTCCCCCCTGACCTCCAGCAGTAGGAGACCCAACCCCCTGAGCAAGGAGCCATCATGGGGGCAGTAGAGGATCGGGGACCAATAACACAGAATAATATTGGCCCCTTAATTCAAGTACCTATAAAGTTTTGTCTAAATAGAAGGAAAAAGTCAATTATTATGCTGCTAGACACTGGTGCCCAGCTATGCGTTTTGGACTGTGCAGAATGGAAAGGGGCACGGGGAACTACCTACCAGGTAGTAGGAGTTGGAGGTGCCAGACGACCAGGACATTTGGTCCGGCTCACTTTCACCTTGCCTAACAGTTCCATAGTAACAGCAGCTACTGTCATGCTCCGGGGAGGGCTGAACCTACTGGGACTAAACGTGTTGCAGGGGCAGCGATTTATCCTTAAGCAGGAAACCTGGCAGTTTGGATGTGCCACAGTTCAGGAAGATGAACAGAAGGATGTGATGATGGTAGTAGCCTGATGTTCCGTGACCCTGCTCGCCCTGCCAGCCATGAAGGGGACACCGACCTTAATATCGTCCCCTTCCTCCCCCGAGGCAACGCAGCCCATTCAAGACATTATCAACCAACAGCTAGAGGATGGAACCATCATTCGAACTCATTCCCCATATAACAACCTGGTGTGGCCGGTATATAAACCAATTGGGGATTGACTGTTGATTTTAGGGCTTTGAATGCCAACACCGGCCATCTGATGGCTGCGGTCCCATCCATGCCTGCACTGATGGAAAGCATTAGGTGGCCCCCAGTGGATGGGATCTGTAGACATTAAGGACATGTTCTTTGCTATCCCCATCCATGAAAATCACTGGCCTTTGTTTGCCTTGTTATGCCACGTCTTGGGTATACGGATGCTTAAAATTTGCACTGTCAGTGTTTTGTCTTTCAGTGTGATTTAGAATTTTTTACTGGGATAAAAGTGAGTTTGGGGGTTGACAAGACATCTGGGATGACAGCCTATATCTATTGAACTTTGAAAGTTTGACATCATCAGTGGGGCCAAGATTTCAGCCATGGTAGCTTAAGTGTCAATTATGCGTCACTGTTTCCAGGATGTAAGGCCTCTGCAACAGTTATGAAGTGATAAGGATTTTTTAAAGACCTGGAAATTGTATTTTTCTCGTTTTGTTTAAAAAAACCACATGGATGGGCCCAAATTCTGTGTTGATTTATTTTGTAATGCAACCCTGCTACTGTGAAGGTCTTTTTCTGTAGAGATCAATGATAATCTTCAGTAGTGCTTGCAAAATATAGGTCACTCTTTAGCACAGCTGATTAGCAGCTGACAAGGGGTTGTTTAAAAAAACCAAACCATAAATGAAGTACCTGAATTCAACAGTGAAAAGTTACATCGAGCACTGAAATTGGACTAGAACCTGTATATTTTTCCTGACTTGAATCTTGCAAAGCAAACATTTTTTTCCAAAATGAATTCTAAAATTAAACATCTTTTTACCATCTTCCCTATAATTGTCTTTGAAAAAGACATAGGTGCTTTATGTTTAATGGAACAGAATGTCAGGAGTAAGAATTTTTTGTACTACTTACGTTACTAGAGGGTAAAAATTATGTAAACTATTCAATAATATCCTTAGTCCTTTTTTTAAATGGAGACCTGATAAAGTATTTTGTGCTGTCCAAGATGTATATACTTTCCTTAATGTATGGGGATCACCAGAAGATAGTGTTGATGTTTAAATAGACAGTATCTTTTTACTAGGGGTGCACTGCTAGAGATTTTTGGGGCCGATACCAATGACTGATTTTTAAGGAGGTGTATCAGCTTATACTTATCTGATTCAAATATGCAGCTGGGCAGCTTGGAGACCAGCATCAGGTGGGTAAGTCTGGTGTTGGGGGAGGGAAGGAGTGGGGGGGGGGGGGGGAATTTAGGCCCTAGA